CCCCAAATTCATAAGTTAAAGTGTAGCACCCACTGTGATGGTATTTGGAGATGGGTCTTCGGGAGGTAATAGGGTTAAATGAAGTCATACGGGTGGGGCCTAATCAAATAGGGTTGGTGGCCTTATAAGAAGAGGATGAGAGAGACCTTCCCCTCTCTCCCTCCCCTCCTGTGCTCTGGGGAAAGACCTGTGAGGACACAGCCCTCCACAAGCCAGGAAGAGGCTGTCACCAGAACTGGAACTCGGGCCGAACCTTGCTCTTGGACTTACAGCCTCCAGAAGTGTGAGAAAAATAGATTTCTGTTGTTTAAGGTCCCCGTTCCGCGGCGCTCTGTCCCGGCGGCCCAAGCAAACGAAGACAGTGCACGTGCGGGCAAGCCCGCAGGGGACCCAGGCCGCCGGGAGGGTGGGGGCAGGGCGGCCACCGCACGCAGGCCTGCCCCGTGGCCATGGTGAGTGAGGTGGTTATCGGAACGTCAGACGCAGGCAAGTTCCTGAGGACACTGCCCCAGACACCCTGCCACTCCCCGCGACCCAGGGCCCCAGGCACATTCGGCCTTGCTGTTGTGTGCGTTGTGCACGGCACAACTCTGACAGGCGCACTCACGATTCTGCCCGCTGTGGGCGGCAGCCTAGCGTGCCGCAGCCCCGTCTGAAACCACACCTCAGTCAGAAGCAGAGAGGTCGTGGGGGCACCTGAGGGGGGGCACCGATGGACACGTGGTGTCCTCACCATCCTCAGGCACAGGCACCGCTGCCCCAGAGCCTTTTAGGAAACTGAAGCACAGGTCTGTTCACCCTCTAGCACCCACAGATCCCGCCACACAGCCCTGTCAGGTCGCACCATTTCCGGGGCTTGCTTCCTTCTGACCGGGCCTCTCCTGCCCTTGTCCTTGGGCATCCTGTGGCCACCTCTGCAGCACACCATCTGAGGGACAGTCCCCAGCGCCGGCACTCACACCGGACCCATGAGTCCACACGATAATGCTCAGCTACCCTGCCCTTTGAAGCGCTTCCTGGATCTCAGAAGCAGCACCCTCCCCCCGCCACCCCACCCCAGGAGAATTGCCATGAGCTCTTAGGACAGGCTCTCGGTGAAAACCCCGGAGGGTGGAGTGGCCAGAGGGTCATCAGGCATCATAGCACATGCTGTTCTGGTGGGAATTTGGCCTTCCTGTGGAATGCAAGGGCACCATCTTCAAAGAGGACATTCTTCCTTAAGGGTTTCACTCAAGAACCTGGAGAAAAGAACAGGGAAGGGTGTCTGGGCTAGGGGTGACCCCAATCTTGTCCAGCTGGCACTATCTCTGGGACAGGAGGCTTAGGATTCCTGGGGAGAGAAACAGACACGGGTGAGCTGGGAACAGCTCTCCAGCTCTCCTCAGCCCCCTACACAAGGCCACCCTAGCAGCTAGTCACGTGCTCCCATCACAGATGAAGTGCTCAGCTCAGTCGGTTCCCCCTGCCCCTTGACCCTGGCCCTCCTCCCCCACCAAGGGTCCCTGGGCTACTGCAGAGGACCTTACAGCTGGAAAGTCTTCAAAGGACACCCAGTGAAGACTGAAGCCCTCTGCTGTATCTTCCCAAATAGTCACCCACCCATTTTGTGCTCAGCAGTCCAGCCAATTCACCCCGTCGGGCATGATTTGAATGCACTTTCTCTCTTCCACACTACTGATGACCACCTCCCATCAGCCAGAAACCGGGGAGAGGACCCAAGGAATAAAGCCACCCAGCTCAGCACTGTCCAGCTCAAGCCTCCGGGCACCCGGACATATATTCTGGTATTAGAAGATGCATGCATCTGTCCATCTGCCTATCAGCCCACCCATCTGTCCACCCACCCACCCGACTTCTCCTGAGTGCTCCTGTATGACAGGTACTATTTCAGGAAGGGGGGCTGCAGCCATGAGCCTTGTGGGCTTTGTGGAGCCCCTCACCCATGGAACAGACACTCCACGGATGGGCAATCAGCAAACAGACTGAATGGATGATGTCGGAAGGCATAGAGGAACACGACCGGGAGGGAGGGGAGTTGGGATGTCACAACCGTGAGCTGAGAGATCAGCTCTGGGAAAAGGAGAAGGTGACATTGCAGCAAAGACGTTGGGAAGCAGAGGGGGTGTGCCAGGGGAGGTGCCCAAGAGGGCAGCTTGGAGGTCAGAGAGAGGCCTGAGTCCTGGGAGGACTGGGCCTTCCCGCTTAACTGCAGGCTCCAACAGGAGAAACAGGGCAAGAGGAAACAAATCAGGAAGAGCGCCCTGAGCAAGGTAATGGGGGGAGTCTAACCAATTAGAGGGGAAATGTATGAACAGAAATGTAGGAGTGAAAACAAGTGGGAAAGTGTCTGGAGGCTCAAGTGGGGGAATTTGCTAGGCAGATTAGGTTCAGAGCAAGTGGGGGAGGTCTGAACAGGTGGGGGTGCTGAGTGCGATGGGGGGCACAGGCAGGTGGGGGAGGCCTTGAGCAAGAATGTGTGAGGGGTGAAGGCAAGTGGGGGTGCAGGCAGGTGGGGGGGTGCAGGCAAGAGGAGGGGGTGCAGGCAAGAGGAGGGTGCACAGGCAAGAGGCCTTTGCAGCAGCCCGGTAGCGGCTGGACCTGCTTGCTGAGCAGTGGCTGGGCTAACACATGTTGAGTAGAGACCCTGGGTGTGAGAGAGACTGAGAAAAGAATCCTTTCTGCGTGTCCTAAGGTCTAGAACAGGACAACAGGAAGAAGAGACTGCATGGAGCTGAGCCATGAGATGGAGCTGGGGAAAAGGAAAAGAAGGGGGGGCGTCGCCTAATAGTCAAGTCTGAGGTGCCCATATAAGCCATCACGGATTACTGCTCAGGCAGGGGGGGGGGGCTGTGGCTAGTTGCCACTGGAGACCAAGCCCTCAGGTAGAAAGGGCATTGGGGTCTGAGCCTCCCAGCTGGGCTCTGAGGGCCAGGGTGGAGGGTCCCTCGGGGAAGGAACAGGGCCACCATGCAGGGGGCAGGGCAGAACCACTTGGATCGGGCACCACCCCAGGTTTGGTGGGAGAGGACCTGGTTTCGGACGCCTTGTTCCAACTGTTAGGAAATGCAGGTGCATATTGAAGACATAGCTCAAGGCTTGCGCCTGGCCCCCTTCTGGACCCTGGGGCCTCCAGTGGGGTCCACAAGCCCCAGGCCCTGCATCTCTGGATAAGCTTGGGGCCAATGTGCCCGCAGCTGCCCCAGGCAACTTGGGAGCGGAGCTAACGCCACTGAGGGGCGCCCGAGACACCTGGAGCCCACCAATCCCCCAGCCAAGCCCGCAGGGACCGGTCGCTGCCGCGACCCCCACCTCACCCCGCTCCGGGGAGGCGGCTGCTCGGAGTCGCGCGCCTGGACCTCCCGGCCCGCGCCCTCCAGCCCCTGGACAGGGACAGGGTGGAACGGGGAGGCGCGCTGGCCATAGAGGAGGGAAATAGAGGGGCCCCGCGCGCGGGAGTACGGAGAGGAGGTTAGGGAGACCAGTCGGCCCCGGGTGGGCGTGTGCAGGCTGGGCTGGCGTGCCAGGAGCGTGCGACGGTGTCCGTGCTCGCGTGCGCGCAGCGGGGGCGGGAAGGCCCCGCCCCGGGGCGGGAGGGGGCTGCTGGATTAAAGGCCACCGTGGCGGGCGGGGACCGGGACAGGAGCCCGCACCCGGCGAGCGCTTGGCTCCGCGCCGCCCTGAGAGAGTCCCTGGAGGGGGCGGGGGGCGCGCCCCGCACGTCCACCCGCCCGGGAGCAGCAGGACCCACACGACATGCGCGTCCGGAACGGGTGCTGAACGGTGGCGGCGATGTCGGGGCGCGGGGTTCCAGGCCCCAGGTGCGGGCTGCTGCTGGCTCTGCTGCTGGCGCTGGGCGCGCTGCCGCGGGTGCGGGGCGTCGAGGAGCAGTCTGGGGGCGCGAGCCAAGGCTTTCAGGTGGTCAGCTTCAAGTGGCACCACGTCAAGGACCCGTACATCATCGCGCTGTGGATCCTCGTGGCCAGCCTGGCCAAGATCGGTAAGAAGCCGGGGGTCTCGGCCCCGACGCGGCTTCCTCCCGCGCTTGTCCCCGCAGGGTCGCCGGGTGGGGCGGGGCGGGGGGCTGTCTAGGCGACCCCGCCCGCGAGTACAGAGCTGTGCTCCCGCGTTCGCGCTCCTGCGCCGGCTCCGCAGTCTCCCTGGCCTAGCGGCAGCCACCCCGCGGTCGGGCCTGGGGAGCGCCCCGTCGGCCCCACGTAGGCAGGCCCGCGGGTCAGGCGGGGCGAGGCGGGGACCGCGAGCCTGGCCGGGCCCGCAGCGGCCACGCTGGTCGCCGAGAGCGACCTGATCCCCGCCAGGCGCGCGCAGCCCCGGGTCCTGGGGTGTCGCGGTAGGGGCTCCCTTGTGCCGCAGCCCGGCCTGGATCCGCGAGCTCCCTCGGCCAGGGGTTGTGTGTGTCGGGCTCGTCCAGCTGTTTCGTGCGGGGAGGCAGCGTGAGCTCTTGCCATCAGCCCTGGGGTGATAGGCGGCTCCCAGGGCAAAGGAAAGTGGGGCCGCTCGAGATTCAACCCGGCAAAATCCCATTTGCAGGAGCGATTTTTCCGTTGACAGTGCTTCTCCTCCCAAACCCCTGGTCTGTGGGATTTCTCATAACTCGCTTCAGTGAGCCAGCAGAGGGGGGGCTGCTGGTCGCTCCCGGCCAAGGTGACAGGAAGGTCAGCTTCTTAAAAGCTCATGGGGACCAAAGTTTCGACGCGTTGGGCACAGGCAGGGAGGGTCTGGGGAGGCGGTGGACGCACCGCAGGTAACTGACTGGGCGGAGTCAGGGGAGAGGACACCGCCCCAGGGATCAGCGGGAGGCTGGGATTTGGGAGTGGGGAGGGGCAGGAGAGGGGAGAGGGCTCTCCAGGGCCTTGGGCTCTGACCTTTTCAGCCAGCTGGAGCGTCATGGGCTCTGGGGACAGCCTGCGACAGAATTTGAACCTGGGGTTTGGATGCCTGGAGGGCGGGCAGCACTGGGTTCCCCGGGTGCCCACCCACCGGCCGGCCGCCTCCCTGCCCTTCCCTGTCTGCTTTCTGCTTCTTGAGGGCCCTGTCCATCCCTCTGCCTCCTCCTGTTTTCTCAGGCATCTCTTCCCTGGCCCTGGCTGCCTGGTCTGGTGCTCACTCTGTCCCACGCTGGGCTTTCTGGGATACCGGAGTAAACCTGAGCACCAAGGTCTCATCCGTGTGTCTCCTCCGGACACCCCTGCCGGGGGCAAAGGACGCTGGCCGCTTTCTGCCGGTCATCTACTGGACAGGTCCAGTCCCGGGCCGGGGCTCTGAGAGCCCTGTCCTGACACTCACACTGCCTGCACCACCACCACCCACCCCTCCCCCCCGGAACTGACCATTTCTGGGGCTGAGTGGGGGCTCTTGTCCTCTGCCACCTTTTCTCTTCTGTGAAACCACCACCATAAAGATGACAATGTGCGCGGGGTGAACCCGTGACAGTCTGGGGAGCCACACGGGGACGTGCAACACCCTTGTTTCCTGAAGCAAATGCTTTCTTTGCAAAGCTGGGGCTTCCCCGAGTCCAGCCGTGGCATCTGACATTCCAGTGACAGCCGCCCGCCCAAGCTGCTGGTGGCCCTGAGGGGAGGCTGCCGGGAAAGGTCTCACTGACCAGAGTATTGGCCCCAGGAGTTCGTCACTCACCTGGGAAGAGCTGTGGACCTGTGAGTCTCCAGCGCGGCCAGACTTGTCCTGAGGGGGACCTCTCCGGGGCAGGGTGGCCACCTGCTCCAGCCAGTTCTGTTTCACAGTCAGAGCAAAGCCCAGAGTTCGTTTTCCTGCCCACACTCACTTAAAAGGGCTTGTTGTGCGAGCACCACATGCTCATTCCATTGTTGTCTGGGATTGCTGACCCCCCTTGAAGGGGGAACAGTCAAGCCTGGAGACCAGGGGTTCTAAGGACAACATGGAAAGGACCCCAAGGGAAGGCCCGTGGCGCTGACCCAGCCTCCCCCCTTCAGGGTTGTCCTGCTCTGGGCCAAGCCATGCCCAGGCCCTGCCCACACCATCCGTCCCTCGGGCTCAACCCCTTAGTCCTGTACCCTGGAATCTGCTGCGCTGACCCTGCCCAGGTCCCCAAGGTCCTCCTGGCGGCTCGGGATGGTCCTCGGGTGGCCCCCACCTCGGCCCTTTCCTTTGCAGTCCCCCAAGCCCCTCCAGTCTGTCCCTTTGCCCATAGTCCCTCAGACATCGTTTCTCCATCCACCTTGGGACCCCACCCCCTGCTGCCTCTGGCCTTCCAGGGCTCAACATCCAAACCAAATCTTAGCAAACAAGCCGGCCCTACAAAGCAAGATCTACATCAAAGAAAGCGGTCACCTCACCTCAGTGGCCTGCACTCACTCTTGACCAGATCCACTGAGCTCCAGCTCCACCTCCTCCCCGGTCAGGACCCCCACCCACCCCACCCCCATGATCCATTGTTCTCTGCAGAGAGAAGCAGAGACCTAACCTGGTCCATGGTTATACCCCAGGGGTTCCCCAACGACCGGCCCACCTCCCTGCCCTGTGGCATCCCCCACTTCCCGACCCACATACCTGGCCCCAGATCAGGACGTCGCCCAGGCCCCTCCCAGTGCGGCCAGCACCTGCGCACAAGCCCCACAGAGCACTCCTAGCCACGCCTTCATATGCATCCAGGTTGGGACCCGAGGCCGAGGCCGTGTGGTGGTGTGTCCAGCGTGTGCACAGATGAGGGCAAGCTTTGGGTCCCAGCGTCCTCCCTTCTTGACTCCGCAGTCCAGGGCTCATGTTCATGAGACTCTCAGGCCCCTTTGGTCATTGGAAACGGTCAGGCTGTTTCGATCTCAAGGTGCAGGAGCAGGAGAAGAGAGGGGTTTCTACTGATTTCCAAGCATTTGCCAAATGTCTTACCAATGGTTCCAGGTGTTTATTTTAGTTTCAGTCAGATTTCTTCCAGCCACGGGTGGTCAGGGCAACAGGGTGAGGGGGCCTGGAACAGACAGGACAACTAGGTGCGGGGACCTGGGACAGACAGGACAATTAGGTGCGGGGACGAGGGACAAAGCAATAATTCATGCCAATGTTTTGAGGCAGCTGCTCCCCTCAAGCAGCTTTGGCCAGAGGGCAGGGTCATGGCCACCAGAAAGCTGGCCCAGGAATCTGTGGGCCAGGAGTCTGTGGGCCCAGGAGTCTGTGGCTGCTGAGGTCACGGACCCACAACCCCTAAGACCCCATGTCTGGGGCTCAGCAAAGGACTTACTGTTTGCATCTGGACCTCCAGGGGCCCCCTGCCCATAGCTGCATCTTTAGGAAATTCAGAAGGGGAGTAGGGTGCCACTGAGGCCAGGGAGCCCACGCACAGGTGAGGCCTGCAGGGCCAGAGAGGTTGAGGGACCCACTGCAGCGGGACAGTGTCTGCCCCTGGGTGGGGGGTGATTCCCTCCTCTGGACCCCGGGGGGGGGGTCCTGAGCCTGCAAAGGCCCAGGGTCTTGGCCAGCCTTGGACCAGGCTGGGCCTTTTCCCCTTAATTGCATTCTCTCTCCTCAGACCTTCCTTGGAGGCCAAGGGCTGGGCCAGCACGAGGCCCACATTGGCCATGCATAGGTCGTGAGGCAGAGAGCATGGGGTAGAGGGCCCGCTTGGGTGGTGGGGATCCAGGTGGCTTCGGGAGACAGAGCTCTGGAGTTGTCACCAGGAAAGGTGCCTTCTGGAGGAAGAGGCAGGTTAGAATGTTGGAGGCCAGAGGGGAGACCAGAGGGAGGCAGAGGGGAGGCTGGAGGAGGCCAGACCAGCACAACCAGACCCTGGAGAACTTTGATCTCTACCCGGGTGGCACAAAGAGGAGGGAATTGAACAGACCTGGGCTCTCAGATTATTGCCTTGGTTGCAGGTCAGAGAATGGACATTGGCGAGGGGGGGGCGGGCACCAGAGGAGATTCTGGGGAAGGGGCAGTTGTAGGTTGACTGGGTCCATGTATTCCCAAGCATTAGGTAGGGGCTATTTCAGTGGACAGATGTGGCTCAGGTATCCAGCTGACAGCCGGGTGGGTCCAGGGCAAAAGGTGGGCAGTGAGTCAGGTCAGGGAGGAGCCTCCTGAGGGGGTCGGGACCCTGCCAGTGAGGAGGCCGGCCTGAGCCATGAGACCCCTGGACAGGACGGGCTACGCTTGTAGCGGCCGAGATGAGGGGCAGTGTTGGTGTGGGTGGGCCAGTGAGAAACCCAGTTTGAGGCCCCTGAAAGTGCAGTTCGCGGTGTGCAGGGGCCGGAGGCCAGGGGCCCCTGACTCTGGCTGGCTGGGAAGTGGTGGCCTCGCCCTCTGAGCCTGAGAATCCGTGCTGTCTACACCATGGCCTCTCCTGGGAAAGGGGGCGGCCTGGGCTCACATCCCACCCACTCAAACCTGGCAGAAACACCCCCCAGGAGGACCCCAGTGGCCGATGGGACCGTCTGGCTTCGAGGGCTGGAGGCTCAGGGGTGGTGGCAGGCAAGTCGTCTCTCCTGGTCCCTGTACCTCCAGCACCCTTGAGGCTTTGCAAGCCCTCCCCTCGACGTGATGCCTCCCTCTGCACTCCTGGTCTTGGGGGAAGAGACCCCGGGGGGGGCTTTCATAACCAGTGCGAAGACCAGGGCCTGCTGTACAGCGTCCACAGCCTCTGACCCGTGTTGAGCCTCCACAGGAAGTTCTTCTTCCCAGTTATGCTCCAGCTGGAGCGCAGCCCTGGGATCATGCCTTCCGATACGCCAGCTGCTGGCTCATCGATCCAGTTTCTTGGGCCTCAGGGCCCCGTGTTCCTGGCCCCAATTCTCGCTGCTTCCAAAGTGCTTTTCCTACCGTTATGATTTCACCCTTGAGTGGGGGCACTTACGCCGCAGGCCTGGGACGTCCCTGGGTATCCACCCACATACTCCGTTGTCTTGCCCAGGCACCTGGGGAGCCGGGGCCACTGGCCCTGACACCCCGCCTGATCCACTGTTTCTCTGAGGTACAGCCACAGGGGCTGGGCCTCTGCCCCAGGCACAT